CATGCACAGGTATCTTCACATTTCATACAGACCCGGTTTGCTGAAATTTGCGCACAATTCTCCCGATTGTGGACACATTTGGTCGATTATGCTGACCAAAAAAATCACGAAATGCACGAAATGCATTTTAATTTGAACGCCCATTTTCGTAAAAGGCTTCAACAATCTTAACGCGCTGCTCAATTGTGTACCTCTCCATGGTTGAATTTGTCAAATACTGAAACAAAGAAATGTCAAATTAAGTTGGGCAAAAAACTTGACGTTAAGGTGTGACACAATTAACATCGTGCATTATGGTTGGACCACCCATATAAAACGATTATTTCTTATTTAAATCCGCCATTTCGTCATACGTCATGTCAATCGTGTTATAGTCCAGTGGAAATTACTAGTATCTCGTTCATCTGTGATCATTCATGGATAAAATTGCGGGGTACAATAAATATATTCTTAAGTGCACCAGAAAAATATTTTTCTTCCAATAAGAAATGAAAACATTTATTCTTTTAACCTTTTCTTCACTATCCCCCTATCATTTTAGGGGATATTTTAGCGTTTTACTAAAAAATGTTTTTGGGATGCGGATTCGGATTCAAAAATACACATATAAGAATTTATTAAGAATAAGTTACCTTACAATTAAAATCTCTTACGGGGTCAATCCGATCCTCGAGTCACTGTTCGAGGACCTCTGATTTTTTTAATAACCTTACAATTTCCTTGCTTGGTGAGAAGGGCCATCCTAGACAACTAAATATATCCTTCCTCTGCTTCGTACCCGTGTGATTCTGCTCCCTGGTGCACCTCACCTCCAATTAGGCGGGCATTAAACGGTATAATTAACGAATTAATGTAGTCGCCAGCTTCCGCAGCGGCGCTAATTGATAAAGCGCAAAGTGGGTCAGGATGTCAACGCTAATGCAATCACAGCCACAAGCTAGTTTAATTTCATTTATTATATTACTGCTTGTCCCGATGGTTCCGCTATGATAAATACATACCTACGCATATTTTTTAAAAGAGTATACAAACTTTTTGGATTAAAAAAAATAAGACCACTAAATCACATTACTAAAATCCCAGATCTCTTATTTTAATAGGCATGCTCTGATTCCTTTGTTTTTACTAAAAGACAATTTTGTAAATGTCATATTAGTTGTCAAGTTAAATCTTCTGTTGGTGGCATTTTGTTCAATTTTATGTGGGAACATGAGTCTCATACATCAGAGATCCCAAATTACATGACTCTGTGTCGGTAGATTTCCTTAACCCCATAACCCCATAACACTGAATGTGCGAGGATGCATAACCACTAATGTCTAGGGAATTGAGAATTGAATTAGCAGTTCTGTTGTAACTGCTATAAATCTATGATCTCGAGCGTACAGATTTACCTGGGGTATTTTCTCTTTACATCTACATAGAAAAAATACCGTGCTACGAAAAAAGTACTGGGCCGTGGACCAGACTAGTGCACCCTACAGTATTTTGACCCGCCGAATTCAAGTCTATAATCAAAATTCCCAGATCGGTTCATGTTCTGGCCCTAACATCAAGGCATTCCTCTAGAAATCGGGTTTCGAGATTTTAAATTGACATGACTAGTTGGTCATTTAGAAAACATTCAAATTCATAATTACATTGCATCACATCCCTTTAGCTTTGTAACCCTGTAACCCCTTAACCCTGTAACCCCATAACCCCATAACGGGTGGTCGGGTCATAACCCGGAATGTACATGAGTGTAAAACCATTAAACTCTGTGAGAACATGGATCACATACATCAGGAATCTGACTCTAGTCGGCAGGGGCTTCGTTAATCCCATAACCCAATAACAGAGCTGGGTAATTCCTGGTGAAAAAGTAATTAGCAATTACAATTCCCTTTTTTCCCTGTAATTGTAATTGTATTTAAGTACTTTTTTTATTAAAGTAATTTGGAATTGTAATTGCAGCAAAATTGTTATAAGAATTGTAATTTGTAATTATATTATTTGAACTATCGAATTACAAATTACTTCTATAAGTACAAATACTTTTTCCAATTACAATTACTTTTAAGATCATGCGTATTGCGTAATTGCGTACAGACTTGCAGACTTCTATTATTTCATTTGAGGAAAGCCTTGTGCCGCGTGAACAATAAAAAGTGATTTGGTGAATTAACCTAAGAATTAACGGAGTACATTTTATTTTATTATAATTATTATTATTTAGAAAATATACGAAGTAAAAATATGTTGTCTATAGCATCAAGTTTTATAAAAATATACAGGGTGTTTTCACTTTAAATTTGGAAAATGTATTCCCTATCCAAAATTAAGTGTAGTTTGCTCTATAAATTTTTTTTATGAAAGCCTTTGTTTTGGAGATACAGGGCGTTGAAGTTAAAAAAAAATAAACACTTTTTGACATATCTCGGCTATCCACGAGTAGATTTGATTCAAACTTGGTACACATTTTGCGTATTGGGGGTTCTCATAATTAACAGAATATTAGTCCTATCGGATTAGCCAGTGGCGTGCAAAGGTAGGGATGCGTGGCACCTTTTTCAAAAAAAAGTACGCCATTGAGTTTTTCGAATAATGTAAAGTAAATTTAAATACTACCATACAAAAGTACTCTAAAAGGTCTCTTGGTATTTTTCGATAATACGCAGCGTTCATGAGATTCTTGGACTATCAAGATTCCAATGCATGAAAACATGGCACGGTAGTGCTGAATGAGAAAAAGAGATATTTTTCTTTGAATTCAAATGCTGCATTAAAATTTATAGCAACTTTTTTGTTTCGCAGCAAGTCAAGAACCTGTAAATATTTTCATTACTTTCCTCTACTCAATGTCGTAATTATTTTTTTTTCATGCATTGAAATCTTAATAGTCCGAGAGTCTCATGAACGCTGCGTATTATCGAAAAATACCAAGAGGCCTTTTAGATTGCTTTTGTATGGTAGTATTTAAATTTACTTTACATTCTTCGAAAAACTCAATGGCGTACTTTTTTTTTAAAAAAAGGGGCCACGCATCCCCCTTTGCACGCCACTGGCTAATGGGATAAGACAAATATTCTGCCAATTATGAGAACCCCCAATACGCATAATGTGCACCAAGTTTAAATCAAATCTACACGTGGATAGCCGAGATATGTCAAAAAGTATTTATTTTTTTTTTTAACTTCAACGCCCTGTATCTCCAAAACAAAGGCTTTCATAAAAAAAATTTATAGAGCAAACTACACTTAATTTTTGATAGGGAATATATTCCTGCGTTTTCCAAATTTAAAGTGAAAACACCCTGTATATTATGTATCTATGTGTTACTGCTCTTATTTTGAGTTGAGAAAACTTCTGGTTCGGTTAGTCAGCCTTTCACTCGTACTTGTTCAATTCGTAATTTTTTTAATAATAATTATTGCTTTCCAGTCTACCCAAAACTACTGTATTCTATATTTTGCAAATGTACTAACAACCAAAAAAAGAGCATCGGGTTGAATTAATTACCTGACCAATAATATAAAATTATAGTATGAACTGAACTAGTTTAAATTATTAGATTAGGAATAAAAATATAAAAATTCTATATCAGAAAATGAATAAGAATAATTTTTTCATTTTAGTATCAATTCTAATAAATAATAAAACGCAATATTACACAACGCTTAATTAAAATTTTTAACTTAACTTTTTTCTTTTTCTCTGTTTGGTCACTATAATTTACATTATCATAAAAGTAATTGCTAAATCCATTTTCCATGTAACTGTAATTAAATTAATATAACTCCTTTTTTAAAGAATATACTTTGTAATTGTAATTAGTTCCTTTTTTTAAAAAAAGTAATTTGTAATTGTAACTATTTTTAAATTACAAGTAATTACCCAGCTCTGCCCAGTAACCCCATAACCCTGAGTGTGCGAGGATGCATAACCACGAAACTCTGAAGAATTGAATTGGCAGTCCTGTTGTAGCTCTTATAGACTCATGATCTCGAGTGTACAGACTTAGCTGGGTTTTTTTCTCTGTATGTCTATATTGAAAAATTACGCCGCAATAAAAAAGGTTTGGGCCGTGTACCTGACTAGAGCACCCTATAGCATTTTGATCCGCTGAAGAAAATCGTCTAGTATGTGGTTTTTGAGATTTAGTACTAAAAAAGGCAACACTTAATAACGTAATAAACAAAGAGGTCTTACAATTGGTTTATTTAAAAATGTCTAAGAATTCATAATTCGATGTAAAATTGAAATTATCTTTGCTGGCTAGTTGCCAAAAATAACTTTATTTTTTCTAACTTCAAAACACTATGTAGCTTGTAAACTGTTAATAATTGAATGAGGCAAAATTAATGAGGCAAACTTGCAACAGTTTGATTACACTATCTTCCTTTTATTTTTTTTTTAGGTACTGTAAATGGCACAGTATAATAGTGAGTTAAAAAAGGAACTACTTTAAATAGAAAATAGTACATCTGACGGAATTTTTTATACGCAATCTATCCACATATAAGGGTATTAATTTAAAATTGCTTTTATCATTTTGAAAGATACTTATCTATTATTCAGTTGATATTGTCGTGAAAAGAAAATGACAGTGAGTGGAAAAATTACTTAATTTACTTTACTGGGATAAATTTCAATTCATGCGCTATTGTATTTTTTATTGTTCTTTTATAAATTGATTTGCTCAAAACTGCCACGTGCTGTATTATAGTTGAAGCCTCTTTTCTTACTTTAAAAAGCTTAAGCATGCTTGACTATTGTTCGTTGCGATTTATCAATGTGGACTATATGTAAGAAAAGTGTAATTGAGTTACTTTTGAAATAAAATATTATCTAAATTGAATTATGTATATTATTATTATATTATGAAAATAAATAATTTTCAACTTTAATTTTTTGAAAAAAAACTTTATTTCATAAACTGGTATAAGGTATTGTATTAAATACTTACGTATAACACTTTCTATATTTACAGAATAATTTTATAAAATGTCGATGAAATCATTTCATTACAGGCCAGTATATTTAGACAGCTTAACAATTTTCTTTGTGATTCTGTTTGATGGTGGTACTTATAGTACTGACACTCACGATATGGTTGTTCTCCATGGCCTTCTCTGAATCTCTCACGTGCACCTTGACGTTTTGTATAGTCAGACTGGTCAGATTGAGCTGTTTCAGTTTTTCGCCCTGGAAGATGATCCTCAGGTAGTAGCAGGGGAACACCACGCACTTTCCCGCGGGTTCCTCGGCGTCTATGTACACTCCCCTCACCAGCAGCGAGTTGGAGCAACCAAGGAGGATCAGGATGATCAAGCACACCCAGTGCGTGATCCAGCAGCTCAATTCTGGGTTCTCTGAAGGCACAAGAAACAAAAGTTATAAATTTGAAGACACAGCAAACAAAATTCAAACTTATTCCTATGTTAACTGAAATTAAAGGGATATGGCGTTGTCTTACCTGGTAAGAAGTAGATGTTGAGTAAGTTCCAAATCCCCCTCCAGACGTTGATGGTACCAAAAAGAGCAAACAAAATGAAGAAGTCCGCTATCAGCAATCTTGGCGTTCCGCTGAACCTTTCACACAAGTATCTCATGACTGGTTGTAGGATGAACGCTATAGCTACGGAAGCGTACCCCAAAATCTGAAAAGATAGAATCAGCTTCTAAAATAATCACTCCTACGGCTTTTTGTATTTATTAACAATTTCTTTCATAATTATTTTAGATGTGAGATGATATATCGCAATATTCTTTTTTGTTTCCTGTACTAGTGGTTTAATGTGTTTGATCTTGTGTGAGTTGTTTAGCACACAAAGCTATAAAAAAAACATTAAAAATAGGTACATTTTTAATACATTTAAAACATCTTTAATATTTAATCTGTAAGTATATTTGGTATTATACTTCTCATTAAGCTATTCTGATAAAATAATAATCACCTTTTTATAAACACATTATTAGTAAAATTTAGCATTTTCGTACTTGAATAAGGCGTGGCTACTGATTTGGTTCATTCATCAGTTATGTCTTTGGAATTAATAAATTTATTAAATGTTTTCCTGATTATGGTGTACTTAATGGGGCAGTCAATAAGAGATCAGTGTAAAAGATGTGAGTCAAAAGTATAAAAGAAATGATTCTTACAGCGTAAAAGAAAGATTAAGGGTAGTATACGGTGGGGCTTAACTGGATAGGGCAAACTAGAGGTGGAAAAAATTATATAATAGGTCAGGTTTTAGTGCGCAACTTTCTAACGCTTGATAAAGTAAAATATATTGCACTATTCATTGATAAACGTATGCGTATAGGTACATTTTTAATCGCATTTGTCAATTTGAAAAATATCAGATCAGAAAGAGGTCAGATGGAATGAAGAAAATTTACAGAATGCATCCAAAAATATAAACAGAAATAGATCAAGCACGAATAAAGTGTCTCAGAACTTGGGTCCACCGTAAAAGAAGAAAGAGGAAGAACAATTGAAGGAAAAGAAAAAATGCTATAAAAGGAAAATATTAAATTACACTTCTTTATTTCAAGCCGAAAATAAAAAGTCAAAATTGTTTTGACAGACACCGATATTTGTTTATCCATTCAAAAATCACAGAAATTTGATTCTATATCAAATCGAAGTTTTCAAAATGTTTGAATTAAAATTATAATAAATATATACCTAACTATTTAACATTGAATAATGAAAATGAACTTTGTAATGATCATGAACATGTAGAACATATTGAAAAATGTTTTTGGTGTGAAGAAAATACCATTTTTTTAAAGAAATTATCGATTAGGCCCAATATCTGTTATCATATATCGATAAAATGAATTTATTGAGATTGTACTAAATAAATACTGCCGCAAGTTAAGATGAAGAAAAAAATAAATTTTATCATCTCCCTCTCTCTCTCTGTCTTATGTCACTCACAATCTGTATCTTATATCCGAAAGAGTGGTATTTACTTATTCAATGATATTAGATACTAAGAAATTAAAGTTAAAAGACAACTATGTAAAAAACCCCTATATTTTGAGTATTCTTCTATAACAAAAGAAAACGATATCTACAAATCATTCTTATTTTTGTTGCTATAACGTGTTCTCTGTTCTTCAAAGGATCTAGGGTTACGCTTTCGTTTAGTCCCTTTATTTTTCGTTTCTCTTTTTAACAGCCAACAAAAATCGGCCATCATATTTTCCATCTTCCTTGATATCGCTGTTCTATAACCTTCATATCCTGATGAGATCGTTCGCCTTGTTCTTCGCTATAATCTCTAAGATTTTCAGGAAACCAATCCAAATGTGAAGAAGTGCAACTTGTAGTTCATCAAATACCCCAGGTCTTAGAAGTCTTTTATCATTTTTGATACAATTTCTTCGTATTTAGGACTCTTGTTGTTTCCTAAAAAAATTTGTCGCTACAACTTTGAAACTAGTCCAAGCACTCTTCTCAACGCTACTCAATGTAGTGATGAATGTTGCATCCTTGACAATGTCCGAATCTGAGGTCCATCGAATACACCTTCTTCCAATTTCGCCTCAGAAATATTCGGAAATTTGTTGGTTGTTAAAAAGAGAAAAGAAAAATAGAGGAACTAAACGAAAGCGCGTAACTCTTTGCATAGATCCTTTGAAGAAAAGAGGACACGTTATAGCAACAAAAATAAGAATAATTTTAGATATCGTTTTCTTTTGTTTAGAAAGTAAAGTATTCTACAAATTTTATTGCATTCTCAATCTTCTAGGCTGTTATCTCATCTCTCAGCACAAGAAGTAGATGGATAGATGTCTGACTCTGATTATACGTTGTATATGGAATTAAACGAGTGAAAAATCATACGTCTAATGAGCTGGTAGAATAATTTGATTTTTTATAACTTTCGTAGATCGTTTTTTTGTGAATTTTGACCTGTTTTTTAAATTTTCCCGAAAAATCAGACCCGTTGGGCCAAATCTGAAGGCAGATTCGGATTCAGCGGAAAAAAATACATGGAAATACATGAGTCTGAACACCAGATCCAATACTTTTTTTGTAGGGCTGTGTTATATTTAACATATATTGTACTATATATTTGACGAAAAAAAAAACGTTTATTGAATGTATCTTGCAAAATATATTCACCATCTAGATATCCACTTATCGGTACGTTTTATATTTACTTCAAATCAAGGTTAGAATGTGACATAGAGATGCCGTGCCCTCAGTATTTTGGTCACGATCTCCGTTTGAAGCATCTGTTTCACTAACTTAGTAATTTTAGTAAAGTTGAGCGTATTAGAGCATAAATGAGCACATTATTATAATTAGAGCAATTTGAAGCTTTGAATGTTTACGTAAACCTTAATGATATTAATTGTGGCCTTGAGGTAATTTCCTTAATTTGAATTAAATTGTCAGGGAACAAAGAGCGGCCTCAGAAACCGACGGCTTCGAAACACAAACGAAATAATTATAGAATTTGTAAGGGAAACGTCGTTCGGTTCATTACAATGGTGCGAGGTGAAGATGCTATGGGTTGTTTGCCACCTTTTCAGATAAATAACTTGCCCTTTATTGTTTTATTTTTGTACGAAATCATTATTTAACATTTTAAGAAAATATGAAACGAATTTGGCTGATATCTGTGCTACGTGCTAAACTATGACTCCACTGCTCCCCCTAGCTATACGTCTGAGTTCAACTGTAATTTCATACCAGTGGAGAGAGAAGAGTTACTTAAATCAAAAGAAGGAAACAGAAAAAGCAGTAGCTGTGTTATAAAAAATGTTGCCAGCGTTAGTATATATGAAGAAGAACAAGAAATCAGAGGTGGGATATACTCCTGCAAAGTTATCGAAAAATCGTCAACAATAAATATTTATCAAAAAACTTTAACTTAGATTCATGTTTTAGTTATAATGAACTGTAGGTAATAAAGCTACATTTTAGTGTATATTGTCTTTAGTGGTTTTGTTTTTTAAAATTTCCTAAAATAAACAACATTTCCATATATTTTTGTGGTTTGAACGTTTGCTGTCTAATAATTCTATAAAACTTTCCATTGTTTTTATCGCAATTAAAATAACTATATAAATAAAATTATCTTTGTAATACACTGATTATGTACCGTAATGTTCATTAATAATTTAACCGATTAAGAGTTCGGAATTTGTGTCTGTGAAATAAAACTTACCAGGCTTGCCCATGCTGAAAGCACGTCATCCTCTGGGAAAACGAATATGTCCAGAAGGGCCCATCCTCCGCGCCACACGAAGACAACCAATGTACCGACAATCAGTACAGAAAAGAGGCAGTCTAGGATATATAGCGACGTTTTTTCTCCCATCTGAAAAGTTACAAATAAAGAAATGATTTTCGTAATATTTCTAAGTTGCTGTGGTGTAGTATCACAAATAATTGTAAAGATAGAGAAGCATCTTTATTTTATTTATTTATTTATTTATAAAAAGTATAAAGGTGATCTAGATAATATTTATAATTTTTTGTATCGAATTTAGAATTTAAACATGCACAAAAAATGAAATACATTCAACAATTTCCGGTGCGACTCAATATTAATGGAGTTTCATAACCTAAAAATTATTCCTTTAAATTAATAATTTGTTACGTTCTTCTTCAGTTAAACAATTTTATTCGAAATTGATACAGTTAAGTACTATTGATTTCTTTAGGTTGGTAAGTTTGGTCTAAAGTTTATATTAATGTTACATATTTTAACGAATTACAAATTTTTAATGCCAACTGTCAGTTAACCTAGTTATTTAAGATACTTCAAAGTTAGAATTTAACAATTTTTATTAATAAGTAATTCCCTTCTTTTTAAGATATTCATACATTTATCTCGTGTCGGCATACATTTTAAGAAATTTTAGTAAAAAAATCGTAGCGTGAACTTAGAGAAATTTATTCACGTTTATGTTACAAAGTTATTGTTTTTTTTTTTACTTTTTTTCTTTCTCGTAAAATTCTCATGTAGGGCTTGGATCGCGAGACTGCAGCAATTTCTTTCGACACATGGTAGAAGCTTCTTTATTTACATACACTATGATTAGTCTTAATTTACTTAATCTAATTTTGGAAATAAGATCAACCGAAAATCAAGATTTTAATTAGTTAGATTCTAATATTAGAACTCAGAAATAAGGCAGAAATGGACTTTTTAAATGAAAGAGCATCCAGATGCTACAAAAAGTTGTGGTTTCAGTCTTACACAAGTCGTTTTAAAAAATTTCGAATTAGAACCCCATATTTTGCGCTCAGAACAAAATAATTTTTTGTTTTCAAGGAAATTACAGTGTTATACCATATTATATTATAATTATATTATTATTGTATTATATAGGTATTATAAAATAATCGTTTGGTACTGAATAAACCATCCTCAGATTTTATTAAAAGTTTCTATGACATCCACACAATGGTTCAACTTGTAAAACTGTCAATGATTTGTTGGAAAATTACTTAATCGGGATACAGCAATTCATAGAAGCTATTATCGAATACAATACCGAACAAACGGCTTTTATAACGATGTACGATGTATGTTTTAATAAACCTCTATGCCAGCGGGCAGAGCTCGTCTGATTCGACATAGGATAGAGAAGAGAAAAAAAAAGTAGTTTTATTTGTTTTTACTGTATGTCGCACATGATTAAATAAAATATACATTAAATATTTTTGACATTTCGTCGGATTAATGGTTTTCAGTTTTTTTTTATTTTCTAAAAGGTCAGAATTTCAATTTTGAGTAAAATAGTGTGGCCTTTTTAAGAAAACAATGTCTAGTTTAAGCCGTGTGTGTTGAAAAAATAATAAAATATGATTGTATCAACCAGTAAAAACACCGTCGCCGTCGGTATAACAACCTTAGAGTTTCGACGCCACTGAATATTTTGGAAGTGCAATAAATCGAAGTGATTCGTAATTGTGTTTCAAATAATAAATATATCTTCTATGAGTTATTATTTTTTTTAGTTTGCTTCACAGTAAGTTGAGTAAAATGAAAAAAAAGACGTGAAAAATTTTGCATTTCAAATTCAGTTTTAAAAACAATGTGATCATTAAAAGTACGAAAATTCATAGAAATTTTGCATGTTCTTTAAAATAGCATGCCACATTTTTTTCATCACTGAATTTTACAAACGTTTAATGAACACATTGCTTTCAAGATTACATTTGTCATAAAAAAAAAAATCAATAATCTTTTTTGTGAAACGAACAGTTTTAATGTTCTTAGTGAGAGGAATTTTTTTCTTTACTTAGTCCAGTTTCATTTCTGCTTTAACCATCTTCAGAGATATTTTTCAAAAAATTTAACACCCCGTAGGTATCCCGGAAATTAATCAATTTCGAATACATATTTATGGTAACTTTTTTCTTTTCGGGATTGTCAGTTTTGGAAAGACAATATACTTTTTATTACATCTAAATAATACTAAATGGCATTTAGTTAGTAAATGTAGATTGTTTTGAAAAATTCTTCAGCATCTAAGAAAGTCATTAAGATTTTTAAAATAAGATTACCAAAAAGAAACCATAACCATAGAGTCCTGAAAATGTAACAAAACAACGAAACGTCGACAATTACATACTTTGCTTTTCTTTCCAAGACTGACCTAGAATCCAAATAAACTATCTTGAAATAAATATATTAACGTCATTAATGTATTAGTCTAATGACTAGTACATAATAGCAACATTTTTTTTTATCCTTCAACACCCTGTATATCATCGCTCATCTGTGGTCGTTCATATTAATTAAGAATTCAGAACTTGTATTTGATAAAAACCTTGTTATTTAACGCACGAGTGCATCAAATTATAGTAATTCCCCATTAATGTACCTAGTGTCACTTGGTGGAATACACAAATAAAAAAAATATCGTGATTGTACTCATCTTCAAATCCGTTCGAGGCTGAAGCGGATGACGTTAATAAACGCATAAATTAAGTTATTTTTAACACGTGCGAATGTAACTAATGTCATTAGTGACCCTTTTTAAACGTGAATTATTTAATTTGGATAATAAATTCACTCCGTAGAAAGCAGGCACTGCATAAACGTTAAATATGTCAAACTCGGTACACAAACAATAGTAACTAAAAATAAGTGCTTGATTTGCGGACTAAAGTCAATGACTTATACTGAAGAATGGTTGTATATTGTTACTTATTTTTATATCATTTTTTCTCCAATCATATTCGCAAAATTGGTTGCATACACTCTTTCCCATAAATACAATTGAAAAGTTATACCGCGGAAACATTGTATTTGTTAAATATTAATATAAAATATTCATTAGAAAATTAAACAAAATGGCAAACAAATAATTGTGCGATAAAATTTATTGCATATAATTAATAATGTTTGAATATGGGACACCGAACTTGTATTGATGGTATAGTTTTTCCGATATCAATTGAAGAACCAACAGATTGATAGTATGTACCAGGTTCGGTCGCTGACGCAGCAACTCGGCATTGAAATATTTAAAAAACTTGTTCCCATATTTATTTATACAGGTCTGGTCGAACTAATCTTGGAGGAGAAAGGAAAACGATCACATTGCATTGGGCTACTGGGCAATAAATCACAGCAGATGATAAGTGCCCAGCAGTGCAGTGCAGCAATGCGGAATTTGGTGTGATTCAAGTAATTTCAATTTATTATAGGCACATTCTATCAATCATTCACATTACAATTGCGAAAGGGAGAAATAAGAGGGATATTTTGTTTACTATTATCACAACATGGCATTGAGGACATAAATAATTAAAATATGTTGTTGGCCAAATGAACATATAATAGAAATTTTCTACACATTATATACAAACTATTATAATTTTTACATTTAGCAGAAAATTTTTTTAGAGACGCCTATGAAACTCGTTAAATTTTATTAGCAGATGGTTTTTTGCATGTTCAACTGACCTTGGAAAGACTATACTTGTTAAATTATTCTTCAACTTTTTTTATATTTTTCTTCGGTTTTCCCACTCCTTTAAGTCGATAGAACCTGATTTGTTTTTGTATATTGTCAAAATAATTTGTTCTTTTTAATCGAAAGTTATGAAAATCGTTTTATTTTAACGACCAAGTCCTATTTCACGTTTCATTATAATCAGTAATTGGATTACAAAATCCCTATAAAAAATACCATATAACGACGTAAGCTGTAATACAAAATAATTGTAAGCAGTTATTTCATTTTATCACATGATACACATTTACTGACTTTCCAAAGAATAATTTGTGTTATTTTGCCATGAAAAATAACGATCGAATAAAAATATACAACAAATGATTAAAAAAATATATTGCTTATTTTTTGCTCGATATTAAGAATCATCGTCTCTAATAAGTCTTGAACAAGTGAAAATATCTGTTCAAAAGAAATTAGGTAAACACAATATATACAGTATGTCTACGGTTAGAGTGGAAAAGAGGGAAAATATTTTTATTTTTCTCGTAAAATTAACAATAAACATTTTTTACTATCCGTTTCTATCAAAGTAATATACATTTTAATTGTAATCATAATTTATTTCTGTATTGTTTAAAACAAAGGCAAAATTCTTGAACGATTTTTATATTTACCGATTTTCTGATCATCCTGTACATGCAAGATGAAAATTCTCCATGCCTACCGCATTTTAAAGACAACCAAAATTTTAATCAAGAATGCCTTTTTCTCGTAAAATGAACAATAAAATTGTTTCACTATCCGTTTCTATCAAAGTAGGCCGATTCATAGACAAATTGAAATTTTAATATAAATCCCAATTCTAAGCAACTTTCCTTAATAACATATTTCTGTATCGTTAAAACAAAAGCAGTTTAATTCTTGAACGATTTTTATATTTACCGATTTTCTCATCGCCCTGTACAGGCAAGATGAAAGTACTCCATGCCAACCGCATTTTAAAGACAAACAAAAATTTTAATCAAGAATAGCTTTTTCTCGTAAAACGAAGAATAAAAATATTTTCCACTCTAATCGTGGACATACTGTATATAAAATGACATTAAAGAAAACATTAAATCTCAACTGGAACTAGCGACGTAAATATGAAGTATGCCGGATACATTTTCTCAAAAAAAATTTAGGAACATCTGGAAAAGTATATTTTCGTCATTTTTGAAATGCAAATTTTATTTAGAAAACATAATCTCTTACGGTTTTCATCGTTTTGATATATATTAGCAATTTGTAAATTTTAATCAATTATGCCTTTTTCTCGTAAAGTGAACAATAAAATAGTTTCACTGTCCGTTTTTATCAAAGTAGGCCGATTCATAGATAAATTGAAATTATAATATAAATC